TAAAAGCTATTTTATATAGATTTGCAATTTCTCTTTGCGTTTTAGCTTTGATTTTTCGGATAGAATAAAATGACAGGCAGCCTACTCCACTGGGTTGAGTTTTGCTGTACAAATTCCTCCCGTCGGGGAGCTATGTTTACAACATAAGCTTGTCAGCTTTGCGCTGATTGACTAGTCGCATTTTCTCAAATCACCCAGCTAACCCTTTGACTAGAGCTACAAATGTAAAGCGCCTTAACTAACTTGACCACGAGGGATTAAGCTGGCAAGCAACGAATTGTTTGTGACATTTTTAAAAAGTATTTTGCATTGATAATAGCACCAGTAAATTGGGATTCCTTAGGGACCGCTATTCGCTTGTTAGGTGCTTCTATTCGCTTGTTAGGGACCGCTATAGACCCCTTGCATGTGACGTCAAGGCAGCTTCATCTGGAGGACAAAACAAAAGATTTTTGCCCTCTTGGGAACTAGAATCTATTCATTTGTCCTCCAGTTGGAACTGCATTCCCACGAACTGCAAGGGGTCTATACACTTGTTAGTTTTAACCATATATGGAATACGTATGACAACCTTTACTCACAGGTAGAGGGTTTGAGTTGCGGGGTATTCGATRGTTGTACCAATCATATTCGAATCGATAGACGGTCTGTTTCTCAGAATGGGGACTTGGACCATCTGATTTGCTCCAGGGCACGAGGTAGTTAGTAGTAGTAGCAGTAGTGTGTTTTTTTTTATTGCCTACATCTAAGATTCTTGCACTTGTCAACATAAAGTTAGGATTTATTGATTCTTATAATCTTTATTAGCAAATACAAAGTAAATTCATTACAAATTTAGCACAGTCCTACGACAGAACGGGCTGATCGAGGCAGTGCTGTGTCTAGAATAATGAAGAGAAGCAAAAAAAGAACACTACATTCTTATTGGTAAAAGAGGGAGTAGGAAATTAATATAAAAAGAATGATGATGAAAAAAGGACGTTAACAAAAACAAAAATGTATTCCAGCAGCTTCCTGAATGCTACTTTCACGGTCTTTCTGGATCACCTCAGGGACGTATGTACGTCATGAGAAGTATTGAGGTCATTATAATGAAAACGAATAGCCAGGGGCCCGACCTCGCGCCCTGGAGCACATCAGATAATACGAGTCCCTATTCTGAGAAACAGATCGTCTATCGATCAAAAAATTGCACWCCCATCGCGCAACACCACGTGGTATACGAAAAGAATGGACTTTATTGAAAAGTGTTTGGAGGTCGATTAGTCAAATGCCTTCCTATCGTCCAATTCACACAATTTTGGTTCCATACGTGACCGGTGCCCAGATGTGTGGCATGGAGACCAGAGCTGAGCTCAGGAAGATTTTGGTGTCGCGCCAAATAGTACTAGGCTCACTGAACAATTTCAAAAAGAGTTTGAAAAAAATTCTCAAATATTTTGCCATCAGTCAATGACGTCTATTATTCTTTTGAACCAACATTTCTCGCCTGCGGATGATTCCTATTTTCTGTTCTAATTGGTGTAAATAAAACCAACGCTTAAATATATTTCATTTCGGGCTGGGAGAATTCATAATAATTCAAAACATGTATTTTTGATACTAACCTACGTTAATAAYCATCGTTTTTAATATAAAGCTWGTGTCAAAAATACATACGTTTAAWATACAATACGTTTTTATCGACTATAGGAGTCTAAGACTAGGGCGTAACTTAGCAGTATTCGGTGCTGTTTGTGYTTCTCCACTTTCAATGTTTACACTCACTCCTATTTTTKCAAACAAAACAACAAAACTAACTTTTGAGAAATTAAGTTATTAAACGGACCTAGTCGGAAATGACTAGTTTTGCAATCATGCTTTGGTCTTGAAAATGACGTAGTCGAATGCCAGTTTTTACACAGTTTTGTAATGACCTTTTGCAAACCTAGCAAAAATCTCAGGAGGAAAAAAACAACAACAATTTTTTGACTTCTACTGTTCTCTTTTTGTGATTCATAAATTAATTTGTTCTTTTTCTTGATCTTTCTTGCTTCTCGTGAGTTTTCGTACGGAAACGTTTTCGAGAAATGCGGATATCCTTCTTACAAACAGTACGCAATAYACCGGGTTACCACGAAAAACACTCAACCCAAGACGGACAAACAACACGGCAAAGAAATGCTTTCGTCAACATTATAGTGGCATGCGTCCAAAGCTAAAAGGTCAAGAATCGTTTAAATTGCCTTAAGAATGGAAGCCAGACTTACAATAAACTAAAGCACTTGGTAAAATCATAGTTAACTATGGTAAAATCAGCAATGAATTTGCAATTATTAGGCAATATGGTACAAGCACTTACTTTCTTTGTTTTCGGTTAATATTTTTAGTATTATTTAGTACAATCTAGGGATAAAAACACAATAGTATTTCTTGCGTAATTCTTGACCCGATTTACTATTGTTGGAACTCGATTCACGAGTTAAACACTAAGATAGCACTAATGGAATAAATATCGTACCTTTGATTTGTGACCACTCTTTTTCTGAATCCTCTGGACTTTCGGGTGTTTCATACACTACCAGTATGAATTGGATTGGGATATGACGCATATGCAAAATGACCCAACGGTTCAATCCAATCAGTCAAAATATTACCCAGTATGTAGTATGTAGGCGTTTTTTGTACTATGAGGACAATCGGTTACTTTACACTTAAAGTAGATAAAATGTGGTTGGTTTGGGAAAAATCAATCAAAGTCAKTCAAAGCCGCTACCAGAATAATCATATTTTGTCTGCAAAGAACACATGAAAGATACTTACATTGTATGAGTTTGTAAGGTCAAGGTTATTTTCAATGACTGAATAGATTACAATCTTACAGATTTTGTACGTGCGACGCCACAGGGAGTCCAAATACTAAAATATTATTGCGTTTATGATTTGATGAAAAAACAACAACAAACAATTAAAAACAAAAAACAAAAAACAAACAAAAAAACAAACAAACAAAAAAAAAAACTAAGGAAAACAAAACAAAACAGGATGAACATCTACGACAAAATTCGACAAGTATTATCCTAGATGCATTACGTGTCATTTTAAAGATAAAAAAACTGAACATACTTTGCCATCGAGGCAGTGGTCCTGTACTACGTGATGGGTTTCCTTTGAACCTCTTACCAGCGATCAGTAATGTAAACAAAGCCCAAAGGTCGCAAAATACTGGATTGCGTGACGGACACAGAAGTCTATGTATCAGACTATGTATCAGACTATGTATCAGACTATGTATGTAACAAATTTCAAACAGACGGACTTACCGTAATACTACTGATGCAAACAACAAATAGCTCAAAGAGTTCTAATGACTCAGTGGGGTGGGGTGGGGGAAATGCAACGCACCGATTGGCTTGCCAGGTTAAAGAAATCTCGCGCGCTGATTGGCTGATTGGTTGATTGGCTGTTTTTGTTGCTTGCCAAGTTTCAATCTCGATGAAAAAAAAAGAACAAAAACAAAACAAAACAAAAACACACACATACACAAAAAGCGAGAAACAAAGCCAAAGTTTATATCTGAAAGCAGAGCGAGAGTCTACTTTGCGCAAAAACKTTCTTCAATTCGCAACAGAGGATTTTGTTGCGTGCCAAGTTGATCGCGTGCGATGAAAAACACGAAACATCGAACCTAAACTTGAACAGAAACAATGTTGCGCGGCAAGTTGATGGTTTTTGTATCT